AAAATTATATTGATTTAAAGTTAGGTTGAAAATGATTAGAGCTATACCAGCCTTAACATTAACCATCTCGGATTCCAGGCGTTCCGGAACCCGGTATTTTTCAATCATTTGTGTGACAATTAATTCTCTTCTCTATAATTAACTAATATTTCATTTTATAGATTTTTAATAAAATTATGTGTTAACACAATTATTTATCAAATAATCATTTAACATGAAACAAAGCAATTCCTTAACTTGGACTGTTGGAGTCTATTATAATATACAAAAAATAAAACACTAAAAGAAATCATTACAAGATTTACTTATCTTGTTTCAATTCAAATTCAACATTGACATCTGCCAGATAATGCCTTTAGGAAGTATCATCCGTAGACTATTCCATTTCTTAGCCAAACCAGCCCTGACCTGAACCTATAACTTTTAAAATCGCTTTAAGGTATCAAATCTAGACACCTGTACCATATGACCTAGACTACCTAGCACCACGACCATTCAAATGCTAATGATCTTCTTATACGTGTCTTAGCTAACTACTTCCTGATTTTCCTTTAGTGATAAATAGGTTTGTAAATGTCTTATAAAGTGTCTGTCTATGTATAAATGTTTTTAAAAAGTTATTTAAGATGACTTAGGTGATAAATCCAAGATATTAAAACTAAAATACAGCTAACAGATAAACACATAAAACGCTTCCAATTTATAAGAAAGTTCCGTTATATGTATCAAATCTTTAAACGTCATTTACACGATAAAAGTTATATAAAATATTAAACGTTATTGAACAGTGTACATCAATTTTATTATCTAAAAGAAACAAAACAAACAATATTTTTTTTACAATTCCAATCAATGCAATTGCAGTATTTATATCGGCAGTTATGTAAGTAACGCAGTAGCTTGAGCAAACATTGAAGATTTTGGTAAACTTTTCTTCTTGAATTACATGAGGTCAGTAACGATGCAATTTCACTTCAACATAACTGATACTGAATTAAGATATTATTATTTAGTATTTTTCATTCTAGCATCTGTGAGCGTGCTGGATTCAAGAAAAGTTGCTATAAAGAAATGAAGTGGAAAGTACACAAAACAAATTACGCAATTGGCGTATAAGTCAATCATACTCAATTTAACAACTTGTATAATCTCTATTGAAAAAAAAAAACAACATATTGATCAGTTTTATCGGTTTTACGGTATAGCTGTCAATACTTACTAGAAACAAATAAATGATTTTGCATCTGTTTTTAGTATTGCTTTTTGAATTTAATATTCCATATAATAATGTTCATAATAAACACCATAATATTTCGATTTTGTGTTGATGATGTCAGATTCCTTTTGCTGGAAATAAAAAAAAACGATTGTAAATGGATAATATTCATTAAGTTGTAATATCGTTTTCCGTAATCTAATAAAGAGAATTGAACAACGATTCTGTTGTGATTCAAACCGAGAATATTAATGAATTATTCATTTGAAAGAATCTATATAATACTGTAAAACATAAGAGGCTATAGCTACTTAAACAATAAACATACATGCAACAAGAGCTGCATATCTGGTACTGGTTCTGCAGTACGAACTGCAGTGATTTTGCAATTACTGATACTGATACTTCATTACTGTCTCAAATAGTGGTATTATAGAATTTGCCATCAGGTTTTCTATTTGAGTTTACTATTAAAGACAGAGCAAGATTAACACTAATTGATTGCTACTATTCTAAATAATCCTAGTTCAAGTGATATTGTTAGCACTATAAAAGTTGTTATTAAATTTGTAATAGATTGGACAAAGGTGAGAAAGTGTGTTTTAAATGAAAGAGGATTGGTGACTGGTTTTTAAACCATAAGATATGACATGAATATATGATGTGTGTAAAAAGTATGTTAAACCATTAAAGTTGTCAAAATATAAGGTTAACTTCTACAGTAATTAATAATTCCATATTTTTTGCTGAATAATGTTTGATGGGTTTTTTTTAATTTGAAGTGTACACATGTGAATTGAAAATACTTCTTTAAAAATGTATAATTAAAATGAATATGTAAATATACATAATACGTTATTTTGTTTGAAAGTGTATATTTATTCAAAATATGATGAATATATAAAAGTGCTGGAAATGATACCTAAACTTCCTTAAAACTGCAGTACCGAGCGAAAATCTAGTACTGGTACTGGTAATGGTACTGCATAACTTGGCAAGTACTGGTACTGGTAATTAAGTACTAAACCGTAAGTACTGATGCAGCTCTGCATGTTACATGTTTAATGTCTCGAATTCTTTATTATTTTATTCTACTGGAACAAAGTAAAACAAAGTGTCATCACAAATACTTCTCAGTCATTCATCACTTAAGAAAATGATATTAATTTTAATAATTCACAATGAATTGCTCAATATTGTGCGATCATTGAAAAAAAAACATTTGATTTTCAGAAAAGTTCACTTGTCCGGCAAATACAGTCAAATGTCCTGGAAGTTATTGTATTGAACAACGATTTCTTTGTGACGGACATAATGAATGTCCTGGAGGAGAAGATGAACAAGACTGTAGTAAGTGATTAAAATCTATAAAGTGTTAAACTCAATCTTTTGATTTTTTTCCGTTAAAAAATGTCAATTTCACAGTTTTCCAGTCGTGGATTGTTATGTAAATACACGGACAATTATATACAGATTATTTTTACATTCTAACAGATACAATGTCGCTTACAATGACCGTCCGGGCTCAATCTACGGATAACTATGTTGAATAGAACATAATCAGCTACAGTAAATGTTGCACTATACATGTAAATAACCCATATCCATACCTACATATTAGCTAATTGCCATACCTACAGATTATTCCATTGCCCTACATACAGATTACCCCATTTATATATCTACATATTAGTCCATTGCCATACCTACAGATTAGCCAATTGTCACACATACAGACTTTCCCATTGTCAAACCTACATATTATTCCCTTGTCATACCTACAGATTATCCCATTGTCATATCTACAAACTATCCCATTGGCTTATCTACTGATTATCCCATTGTCATGTCTACAGATTATTCCATTGTCATATCTACAAACTATCCCATTGGCTTATCTACTGATTATCCCATTGTCATGTCTACAGATTATTCCATTGTCATATCTACAAACTATCCCATTGGCTTATCTACTGATTATCCCATTGTCATGTCTACAGATTATCCCATTGTCATATCTACAAACTATCCCATTGGCTTATCTACTGATTATCCCATTTACATATCTACAGATTATTCCATTGTCATTCATACTGATTATTCCATTGTCATACATACAGATTATCCCATTATCATATCTTCAGATTATCTCATTGTCATATATATATATAATCCCATTGTCATACATACATATTATCCCATTGTCATACATAGAGATTATATCATTGTCATACATACAGATTATTCCTTTTTCATATAAAGAGAGTACCCAATTGTCATATCTACAGATTATCACATTGTTATATCAACAGATTATACCATTGTCATATCTACAGGTTATCCAATTGTCATATCAACAGATTATCCCATTGTCATATCTACCGATTATCTCATTGCCATTCATACAGTTTATCCCATTATCATACCTACATTTTACTCAGTTATCATACCAACATATTAGCCCTTTGTCATCCATACAGATAAGCCAATTGTTCACCTACACATTAGCCCATTGTCATACCTACTAAAAATCATTAAATTTATGTTAGGCAATGATATCAATCATTTTTTAGACTTTGTCTGATGATATGTTCGTATATTTTTTTTAGTTTAGAAGGCATCAAATGTTGTTCAAATCTGAATCGTATTTTTTTAATTATTTAATTGATATGCTAAATTGATACACCGGAGATATTTAAAGAGTGTAGATTTAACACTAAATTTTTTGAACTTGTTAAATAAAACATTCATATGCGAGCCTCTGGCGAGAATAAATTTTTTTATTCAATGTTTTAAATAAATTTATTATTGAATCGTCACGAATTTAATATTCTATTGATAACATAACCAAAATAAGATTGGTTTGCAGTTAAAATGTGTAATGTGAACGCGCCTATAATGTAACGCTCACTAACTCTTTGTTTGTATATTACGCCAATGACGGCACATAAAAGTGTAATTACACAAATGTTATATCGTTCTGATTACTACATGGCTTTATTAAGCTCCAATAGTGCGGTTAATGTGACAATTTACTTTATTATATTTGGATCTAAGTACTTTGTATTCTAAGATTGAAAATTATGATGTAACAAGAAGTTAAGTTAAACAGGCAAATAATATCATTTTATACTTCCAGAAATTTTAACTAACGTTGGTATTCCATCTTTATATTTAGGGATAAGTGTTAGTACAAATGTTTTTGTTTTTAAATAATTATATAAATAAAACTTTGCCCCGCGACCGCGTCACGCGAAAAGTCGAGAATTAACAGGTGGAAATGGTTGGGATGCGGAGCAAAAACACGTTAAAAAGCGTGATCACTGGAAAAGTTTTATGTATTTAATTTTATTTATTCAATTTCGCCCCGCGCCTCCGCTAAGAAGCTCTCTTGCTGATTTATTTCTGACATCTCGCTCCGCACCCCCGTGAGGCGAAGTTTTATTTAATTAACACCGCCCCGCCTACCCGCTTATAAGCGTGTTTTCGACCGCCATTTTAACTTGAACTATCAATTATTGATTTTCTAATAGTTGGAGCAATGGAATCAATAATAGAAATTAAAAACGTAAACTGCTTTAAGTAGTTAATTTTACAATGCTTTCTAGATTTTCTGCTATTCTTTATTAGACAACAATGATTAAAATGTGAATGACTTAACATTATTAAGTAGCTCAGTGTTGTTAAAATTTATATACTTCTTCAAAAGATAAATCCGATTGTTGATTGTGAGCCTGGGTGATTTTCTTTGTATGTTTATAGGAAAAATAAAAAAATGAGATATTATTGAAGATTAATCATGATTTTATTTGATGGGTTTTTTTTTTTTTTTTTTTTTTTGTGTTTTTTTTTTTTTATTCTCAATGATCCGTATTGATTTTTTGGTAACGGGTTACTGGTCAAAGGTCATATGGATATTTTACAACAAAACATTTTACCACCAATAGCACAGCAACCATCGAGTCCTCTTAACCCAAATTTCTAAGGTACATGGGTCTTTGAAGTCAGAATAACTTATTAGTTTACATTCAATTGATCAAAGGTCGAGGTCACATTTACCTAATCTATAAATACGGTTATCGATAAATAACTTAACAACCTGTGGACCTTTCGCCCTCAAATTTTACAGGTGCGTTGTTCTGGCTAGTTCATTAACCTAATTGAGTGGGGTCATGGGATCAAAGGTCAAGGTCACATTCCTTTCATCTTGTATATAAAACGGTTTCTAACAAATAACTAGACAATCTTTAGCCCTTTGCTTTAAGGCTTCACAGCTCTTGACAATTAGATGACCCCAATCGATCATGGTTTCAAAAGTTGAAGGTAACAGTCAAAATGACTTTTAATATCATAACAGTTTCCGACCAATAACTCAACAACCAAAGCAAATACTTCTATCATGATTATCTTAATTTAAAACGCTAATTTGATGCTCTAACTTAAAATATGGCATAAGTCCGTCTCTATAAATTATCAGGCACTTTTTGTTCACCATTCTCAGAGATTGTTAAAAGATTAATTATATTTGCAAAAAGAGAGCAAAAACAAACCTAAATGTTCGATCTACAATATGAAGTGTTTAAAATAAATCGATTTGCTTGTTTCAACTATATTGATATATATGCAGAGGACAACAACTTAGTAAAATATTAATTCAGGACAGATCGCAAGCTGTACTTCACACAACTACATACATTATGTGCATGCATGTTATATAATGTTGACAAGGTGTATTTAGGAACTACGCGTTAAAACACTTGGGTCTATCGAAACAAAAAATAGAAAATTTCAAAGCTTATAGTAAGGGTCGTATTTTTCCCAGCAAAAATAAGTCAGAAGTACAAAAAAAAGAAGTTTGTAATGAATCGTCCGATCGGGGTTTAACAACTGACCCTATTTTTCAAGAATCTGTGTTTAATTTCAAATGCCTTCAGAAATTCAATAGAATATGTAGTTTCAATTAGTAGTATTGTTTACTTTATGCATATAAAATGTGACATTCTTAAGTTTGGGTTTACATTAATTTCTGTGGTATGAACTCTACTGTTGATGAGTTAATATTGAAGTTGAATTATATATTGAAGGTCTTTGATTTTATGCTCAATTCAAACATTGTGCATCAATCGATAAGTTGTTACTATTTTTAAAAAAATAGATCTGACTCTTCTGTTCTCAAAATCGTCGTACACAGTATCGGAAAAACTCAGCAAATTGTTTACTTCAAGTGTAGGTGTAACTATCTCAGAGTCTTTGTTATGATATTTTTGTCAAATACCATTGTTGATATTTTAACAGGGTTTAATGGCTGAGGGGGGTTAACTGGTAGGTCAAGATTAAAAAAAACTTTTTTATGGACTGAATACAGTGCATTTTGATTTTTATTGTAATTTCAGCTTGTGGAGACTCGGATAGAGAAGTAATCTTATTTGTGGGAAATGATGACTCTGAGAGCAGGGAAGCAGCAACGCATTTAGCTAAACAATTTTTCACAAACAATGACAGTAACACCATACGATTGTTTAATTTTAAGATTCTGCATAGAGAATTGAAGTTTGACATAGATTACAGGTTATTGGAAATAAACATAGAACGTGTTACCGTAGAACAGAAAATTAAGGAAACTGGATGCAAGTTTAAAACAATGGCAAGAGACTTTCTTAAAAAACTGCAGTTTTCCAAGCCAGAAAAAAGAGCGATTATTGTACTGGAAAACAGTATTGAATCATCAGTTGTCGCTAGCTTAGCATTGTCCAATATTTCAGAGCCATCGTTTTCAATCTATCGGTTGATAAAAGATTTCAGTTCTTCACTTTATAAAGATAACAGATACACATTTGTAAAGGATATACACATCAGTAAATGGAGTTCTCTATTTTCGATTGGATTCAGACGATTTCCAGAAATATGTACAGGTAACAGCATTGCCAGCTTGACTCGTTTGCCTGCATATATTAGTTTAAATTATATAAAATATTACACCGTTTCATATTTTGAAAGGTTTTTTCTTCGTTGATTTTAAAGATTAAGAAAATATTTTTTCGTTGGAGTGAAATATGAAATATATTTTCACGACACATGACAAAATGCCACATTTTCTACGAGTCGAGCATGGGTGAAAATATATAACATATTTCACGAAAAAATGAAAAACAAACCTTTTTTTAATGTCATTGTCAATGAAAAATGGTTACGAATCCCTTTGCTTGCTACGCAATTGTAATTGTACACCGCGCAGTAATATATTGATGTATTCATAGATGCGTGAAGCGGTTTTAATACACATACAATTTTGCTTGTTTATTTTATTTCACTTTATATTTTCCAAAAGAAATATAGAGTATTTATAGTGAAAGAAATGTGAAATTTAATTAGCTTGCGTCATTGAAATAGCGGTCTTTTTTTTTGACTGTTTGACGTACATTGTGACGTCACGTAAACAACACTTTAAAACGTATGTATAGCGTTGATGACAGAATTAAAGACATTGGTGTTCTTTATCATTTTCGACCATTTTCTATCATTCTAGATAGTTTTCAAAACAAAATTCAACAGAAGTTGTTTTTTATTAATCAGATTTTTTTTCAAGCAAAAATGGCCAAAGAAGTCCCATATAATAAATATGAGTTTTGACTCCGCCAACTTTCAAATTTATATTTAAAAATTAGTTTTATCAAATGATAACATCGGTAATCTGATCATATTATAACTTAAACAACTAATGAAAACCGAGAAACTAGGATATAACCATGTTTACAGCAATAATGTAGTCTTTGATAAAGATTTGTTTTAAAAATAAATCATGTTTAAAAATATATTTTCTTTATATGTCCGTTTCAGAGACTACAATCGTACCATGTGCTGGGAAGTACAGATGTTTGTCTAGTAAGCAATGTTTACCATTTGAACAAGTATGTGATGATGTCATTCATTGCAGAAATGGTGATGATGAACGACTTTGTAATTCTGTATGTCCAGAGAAATGTAAATGTACCGGAGATGTTATCAATTGTAAGGCAGCCAATATATCAATATCTGATATTTCATCATTGACTATACAGGCTAGAAGTCTTGATCTAAGTATAAATCCACAAATCAACAAAATACATAAACACAATTTAAATTTTCCTTACATGTTTCGACTAAATATTTCATCATGTAGTATTCATTATATTGATGGAAGGGTCTTCTTTGACTTGAAAAATTTGCTATCGTTAGATCTTAGCAACACTAGAATACAGCAATTACCTGATATGGTATTTAGCAAGCTTCGTCATCTGACCTATTTGAATCTTGACAGAAATAAAGAATTAACAATGATTTCATCGACTGCTTTTAAAGGTTTGAAAGCAGTAAGAAGCTTAAAAATTTCCGGCACAAACCTGAAAAAGATTAGTTCAAATACATTCTCTGGCTTGCAGTTGGACAGTATTGATATTTCTTACAACAGAATTGAGGAAATTGAAGATTTTGCCTTCAATGATACGCTTGTTCATAAAATTAACTTTGAAGGTAATAAAGTTATAAAATTCGGAGAATCTATGTTTAACGGCGTAAGATCACTTCGGGAGCTTCATACACCTGCGTTTAAATTCTGCTGTATCCGGCCTTATTATGTACGCGAAGAAGATTGCAAACCATTGAAGAATGAATTTTCTTCATGTGAAGACCTTATGAGAAACTGTGTACTTCAAGCTGTCCTTTGGATAGTTGGGGTAGCTTCATTGCTCGGGAACCTATCGTCAATTATCTACCGTCTCGTGTACGATCGTGAAAGGCTGAAAATAGGTTATGGCATATTTGTAACTAACCTAGCAGTTGCAGATTTCCTCATGGTGTTTACCTCATCATGAAAACGGTCGCCCCTAAAAGAACCTATACTTAAAACGGTGTGACTAACCCCACAATCAAAAAAACAAAAAAGGGTAAATGGAATATTAGGTTTTTCCAATTTTTTGAAATACATTGTTTAATTTTGCAAAGAAAATGAATCAAAAACCACCGGCTTTTTTTACAATGGAATATTAGTTCCCCTTGGGAAATTTAAAAGAGCCTCGGGGCTAGATTTATCCCCTGTACAGCGTTGTTTAAAGACCCTTCATTTTACGAAACAAATATGCTTTTCCCGTTAAAAAAATTTTAACTGTTAATTAAAAAAACAAAGAAATAATTTTTTTAATATAAAAAGGTACTCAAGTCTAAAAGATAAACAAAATGCCGAGTTGTTCAATGGAACTTATTAGTATTCATTTAATTATTTAGATACAATTTCTACAAATACACGAATTAATTACACCTAACAAAGGAAGATATGGTACATGTACACTTTACCTTGGCTTCATAGTTGTAGCTGTATACCTTTTATGATTAAATAAATCTATATGTTTGTTTATGCTACATTCGTAACAATAAACTTTTATATTATTCGTCACACAAACGAGTCGATATAGAGTATAAATTGATCACACATAATTTGATATAGAATTATTTTTTTTCAGAGAAGTATTTAAATAGTTAAATTAAGTCAACAATTTCGTAATTGTTTTTTTTACAAATGTATATTTATTTCTCACACATCACAATGGTATTACTTTTATAAATTAATAGAATCTGTTTCAATTACTTGTACATGCCAAAGGAAAGAGGTAATAATAAAAAAATAAAAATATTTATTTACAAAAATAGACGACGAACCTATTGGTACATAATTGTAAAATTGAACACAAACAATCATTCTTAAATTAAAATAATTTATTCCCATTTTTTTACAGATATATTTTTGTGGACGATCAATGGAGAAACAGTAATTGGTGTATTACTGCCGGAGTTTTGTCTACAATTTCATCTGAAGCCAGCGTCCTCTTTCTCTGTTTGATAACATTAGATAGACTTTTAGTGATCAAGTTTCCGTTTGGCACAGTGAGGTTTGGACCTATGAAAGCCTATATCTCTTGTGGATTGTGCTGGTTCATTTCCATCATCCTATCGGTCATTCCAATTCTTTACACAAGTCACTTCCAAAACGAATTCTACTCTAGAACAGGAGTTTGTATTGCATTGCCCTTAACACGAGATAAACCTCCAGGGTGGATTTATTCTGTATCCATTTTCGTCGGCCTGAATTTATGTACTTTCATTCTTGTTGCTATAGGACAAATCTCAATATTCACAGAACTTCGACGATCAACATCAGCTATGAAGAAGACACAACTATCAAGAGGACGTGACTTGAAAGTTGCTAGAAATCTTATACTCGTTGCAACAACTGATTTCCTTTGTTGGTTTCCGATAGGTGTGATGGGTAAGATCTCGCATACATATGGCATATGTGTTTGTATTGTCTGCATTACAATTAATTAATTAAACTGGATTACACACGTCTTACTTCGACGATATTGCACAATTTATATGTAGCACCTTATGTAAAAGCATTATCTTTTTCTTTTTATTCGTTAGGATGTGACTTTTTTTCAAGTACAAGTTTATTTTCGAAATATATAAATGTAAATGGTTTATATATTCTTTTTATAAGAACTAATGAAAACAGTAAGTGCGCTGTTGAATCTAATATAGCAATGTCAAAAGTACAGCTATTCCCTTTTTCAGGTATTTTAGCCTTGAACGGATTTCCAATTCCAAGTGATGTTTATGCATGGTCAGTCGTTTTCATTTTACCAATAAACTCTGCTCTCAACCCGTTTTTGTATACAGTGACAGCAATAATCGGGAAAAAGGTAAAACAATGGGTTGCTTTCCTGGAGACATAATTATACTTTTGTCTCTTATTTGATTTCTTGCATATCAAAAAGGATTGTCAAAAGTTTAAACTTGTGCTAGAAAACCGCTTGTCTTACACCCCTACCCGTGTAAGACAAGTCGCGTGTTCTAAATGACGTATCCCAAGCATCATGTATGAATGAATTGCGTTCTATGCATGACGTCATATTGCCGTCTGAATAAAGTTCATCCGCTTCTCAAAAAGGGCTAAATGGAAATATTAGCTTTTGTTTTTTTCTTTTCGAGATAATAATTTATATCAAATAAGCAAGAAAAATAATCAAACACCGACTGTCGTAACAAATGGGAAAATTTTGCTCTCGAGTTACAACTGTTCAGTGGAAACCAAACCTCGTTACCGCCGTAAACAGGTATCCTCGAGTTAAATGTTCCCGTATGTACCGACAGCCGACTATAAGATTCTCATAATCTTTTCATGATATAAGAAATTCATTATGACGGTAATTTATTATGCCTTAAATTTATTAAATATTTGAGACGAAGAGTTTGGTTTGAATCACAGTACCATTTGTGTCTCTAACATATAGAAAAGCCTCTGGAGAGCATAATATTATTTTTATTAAACGAGTCAATACAATCAGTAATTAACATACACGAGTATACTGTTTTATCACATACCTAAAATTATACAGAGTGTTTAAAGTGAAAAAGGAAAACTTTTCATTTACGCACCTAAAGTGTAACGCTAACATTTTGCGCGTCTTAACGCAATGTTTATGTAATGTAAATGATGGCACGCCAAAATATATACACGATTGTGCAATACCGTGTTTGCGTAGTCGCAAAAGCGGCACGGTTATTTGAAAATAGTATGAGATAATAAGCTAATAAGTTATGTTGATTAAAGTGTCACATGAATTAATACAGTTTAATCATCAAATTTTTCAATCCCCTCGTACACTATATAAGGAAACACTATATTAAGTGTGCTGCAACAAATGAAATTAAAACGCCGAAATAAACACATGCATTGATATGATACCTAGGTCGAACGAATTTGGTTAAATCTTTAATAAATTATACCTGTTATTTATTATATCTTTAACTTGTATCATAGTTTGGGGAATTTTCTGTAGTTAAATCGTATAGGCATACATGCACAGTGCGTTCGGGTATTAGTTACCCGCACACCGGAGCATGCCCATTGATTGGTTCATTTTTGCTGGGGTTTACTTATTGTTTCGGCATAGAAAGGGAAAGCGACAGAAATATCATATTCAGATGCTCGTTTATTGGTTACTTTTTTCCGGGGTTTCATATTGCGACAACAGGGATTGTGTTTTTATGTTTTACTATGATACAAAAGAGGAAGAACATCAAAACACTTGGCAATCTGATTAACACTCGGGTGTTATGCCCCCTCGTACAAATCAAATAGCCTCATTTTTCGATGTTCTTTCTATTTCTTAATACAGTCTCACTTGCCAATGCGACCACGTGTATTTAGCGACTTTTGTCTTATGCGACTTTTTTTTTTTATTCCCACTGATCATTTTCTCAAACTAATGTATAATTAAATGATTATTGTAATTCATTATATCAGTATTGAAGTATTAGACTTTAAATATAAAACTATTAATAGTGAAAGTAGTGCCGTTGTTACGGAGTACGGACGTTAAAGGTGTAATGTTCTTGCAGTTGAGCAACAGTATTATTTGAAATCGGTGCTTCACTTTGTATTTTAGAGTTTTAATCCAAGTCTTGATGAGCAGAGTCGAACAGCGGTCCAGAAAGGTAAATGCTAACCTGTTATCAGATTCGCTTCTATAAATTTTTAATTGTTTTTTTTTCTCGGACAATTTTTTTAAAGTTACATATATGCTACGTAGTATCAAGACACTATGAAACATAAAGATAAACGCTTTAAACAGGTGAAAAGGAGCGACGTAGGATGTCGGACTGTAACCATTTAATTTGATCTAAGGAGCACCACATAGAATGTTGTTCAAACTGTTTGAAATGCAGAGAACCAGTAAAAATATAATGATTGCATAGATGACGTCATTTACAGCAGTATTGGGCACAAATAAGATGTGTAGGTCAATGCAATGTGTACTTTTTTCCAGAAATTGGTACCGTCATTTTAGAATACCAGCAATTTAGCAGATCTGTGCGGATGATAAGTGAACTTGTACCAGTTGGGACGAAACGCAGTATTCAAGAAATTCTTGATGACGACAGTTGCTTGTCAGTCAATGTTGTTGCGTCTCTGTGCAAAGAACTTGCCGATTTTCTACGTCTATTGCATGAGGGCTTTATTGTTTTAGACCAGATATGTGAGAAAAACATTTACATTCAAGTGAACAAAACAAAGGTAACTAAACAATTTTATAAACAATTTCAATTAATTTTTGCAATAACACTCAATTTGCATAATTTACAAAAAAAAACATTAGCAAATCAAATATGCAAACATATAAAGACATAGGTCAATGTGATGCTTAGATATTGACATGAACACAAACAATAATGATAATACATAGAGGACAATAATTTAGATTTATGTTTGTTAGCTGATATATATTTTATACCATTTCTTTAGTTTTTAATGTTTGTTTGTAAATGTTGAGTAGCGTTTGATTGAGATTGTGAAATCCTTTTTTTGTGTAAAGTCAACCGCCATATGAACACATCTGCGGATGTTTCAAAATTCTAAATTTTACCAGTTCATGTAAAATGTTGAATTCTTAAGCCGGTATTAGGGGGCGTGGACGGTATTTTTCACATGACAGTACCGTCCATGAACAGGCTCAATCAAACCGAGCCTGCAACATTTTCAATTGGGCCGTGCTGTGCTTTCTTTATGAATTATTATTTCTCTCTATTTTGTTGAAATCCTTGCTTGGTGTAAAGTCAACTTGTTGAAATTCTTGCTTGGTGTAAAGACAACTTGTTGAAATCAAGTCATTTTGTTGAAATCCTTGCCTACTGTATAGTTAACTTGTTGAAATCCTTGCTTGGTGTAAAGTCAACTTGATGAAATATTTGCTTTGTGTAAAGTCAAATTGGTTAAATCCTCGCTTGGTGTAAAGTCAACTTGTTGAAATCCTTGCTTGGTGTAAAGACAACTTGTTGACATCAAGTCAACTTGCTGAAATCCTTGCCTACTGTAATGTTAACTTGTTGAAATCCTTGCTTAATGTAAAGTCAACTTGATGGAATATTTGCTCGGTGTAAAGGCTACTTGTTGAAATCCTTGCTTGGTGTAAAGTCAACTTGTTTAAATCCTTGCTTGGTTTAAAGTAAACTTTGTGAAATTTTTGCTTTGTGTAAAGCCAACTTGTAGAAGTCCTGTTTGGTGTAATGTCAACTCGATGAAATCCTTACTTGGTGTAAAGCCAACTTGTTGAAATCCTTGCTTATTGTAAAGTCAACTTGTTGAAATCCTTGCTTGGTTTAAAGACAAATTGTTGAAATCTTTTTCTTGATTTTAAGACAAATTGTTGAAATCCTTGCTTGGTGTAAAGTCGAATTTTTGTAATGTTTAGAAAACTAAACAAATAATTTGCTTGATGTGAAGACAACTTGATAAGATCCTTGCTTGGTGTGACGTCTACATGTAAATACTTGCTCTGTGCAAAGTCAATTTGTCGAAATCCTTGCTTGCTGTAAAGCCAACTTGTTTAATCCATGCCTTGTGTAAAAAGAAATCGTTGAAATCCTTGCCTAGTGTAAAGTCAAATTGTTGAAATATTTGCTTGGTGTAAACTAAACTTGTTGTTAACCGTCTTTTAAGTAAAGTCAACTTGTGAAAGCCTTGTTTAGTGTAAAATTAAATTGTTGAAATCTTTGCTTGGTGTTAAGTCAAATTGTTGAAATCTTTGCTTGGTGTAAAGTCAAATTGTTGAAATCTTTTCTTGATTTTAAGACAAATTGTTGAAATCCTTCCTTGGTGTAAAGTCGAATTTTTGTAATGTTTAGAAAACTAAACGAATAATCATTAATTGTATTACAACATCTCTTCGAGTCTAATTTGTATACTTCGGTATGGCATTCTCAATGTTTTATGACGAAATCCTCAATGTTTTTACGAAACTTTTTGTGTTTAAGTACCTAGTTAATTATTCCGTTAATATGCTTAACGTTAAGTAAACAAAATCACCATTGTCGGTATATATCTATTCTTCGTCTCGTTTTCTTTTTACATTATTCACTTTAACGCACAGCTTCCATGGTTTAATTAGTAACAATGTCATCATTTTTCAATAGGTACACAAACCAATTGTTGTAATCGATGCCAAAGCGACGCTAGCTGCCGATGAAAGAGCTCTACAGGAAAATATCCGCCAATTTGGTAACATTCTTCGAAAACTTATTTTAAAATGTGAAAAGGGTTTAAAGTAATGATTTGTATGCAATGAATGCAAGTCGTCTCTATTACGAGTTTTATGTACGTTGTAATATATGTGAGTGAGACACAAATAAGTGCTGGCGCACCATTGTATATACCGTATTCGGTATTATTTGTGAACATGAACTCTGCAAGAGTCTAGAGATACTGTGCTCCAACACTGTAGAGTTAAATCAAACATGCATTGCATTCGTACTGGATGGCGTGAATAGGAAATTGAAAATACTTGACTTGTTATTTTCCCGTGTAGATATTTTGAATTTCAAGTGGCGTAACGTTTTTGTTTTAAATATCTTTGTACATAAACGTTCATGATACCTTCATTATGCCATTTATATTCCATACTGTGTCAAATCATAATCGCATCAACTCGGCTTTTATTTAAGATAATCTCGGACTTAATACGGATTGAAAATACAAAAATGTGTTTCTACCACATGGTTTAAGATGTTATAAAAACAGAGGGTGCAATCTTTGATAATGTGTTACAAATGTTTATATCTAACATCAAAAGGAATATAAATTATATTTAGGTAAAATAATGATCGAAATTATGTCTGACCATCATTATCAATTTAAAAATGATGGCCAAATCAAAATTAATGTCAATAGTTCTCTACAACCATCATAATAAGTTAATAAATAATGTACTGCTTACTTTTATATTCATGAATTTAATTACTTTAGGTGGACTTCTACTCGATATATTTGAAAAATGTCAAAAAGCTCTTCATTCACATGATTGGTTACTTAGCGTAGGTTAGACCAAAATACTTTATCCGTTCTGTGTATTCTTACTAATTAGTAATGTGTTCGAGATTCTTGTCCGAAGTTTAATTAAAATGGTCTAGAAGTTGCGATTGTGTCAAATCATTGTTGTTTTCATGTTTGTAAATTAAATGCATTTGGTCTGCTATTGGTGGTTGTTATTTTGTTAAATTTAATAGTATTTTTACTTATTCAATATTCATAAAATCGTTAACGAATCAATAATGTTGAACATGGGATTTGTCACCGCTGTTAAAAGATATGTATATATATATTCATTAAATGTTTTTTTTTTCCGATGATGTTTTAAATTTTTAATCAGTGTTTTTCAATAACTGTGTGACTGATGTTGTTAAAATTTAATCATTTTGGTATTTTATTAATATTATTAAACTAATTATGTAAAATGTTGTCATCACAGTATCAATGTTGTTTATAGTGATAGTACTGTGTATTCTTACTGTTGTGTTTGGGATAATTATCCGAAATTTGAAAGGTGCAATTGTATCAAATCATTGTTTTACATGTTCTTATTAGTGTTGTATCTGTTGTTGTATATGAATTATTTGTCAGAGAGGAGGGGTGGTAGTTATTGTGGTAAAGATTACAATCCTGGCAACATTGGTTCGAGTCCTACTCAGGTGATATCAATGTACCCCTTGTGACACCAGTACAAGTTAGTTAGTTCAAGGAGGATAATTCGAAAGCTTCAAGGAAGAACCGTTTGCTGATGTTGTAAGAACTTGTGGTTCAACCCTTTTGCTATATTGTGTTTATATTATGAGAACATTATGTTATAAATGTGTAAAAATGGAGAATAAAATATGTTTAAATCAAATTCGAAAGCTGACACAGAAAGAGCTTTATAAACATGATAAAGAAAATATCCGATAATTTGGAAACTTTGCTGGGAAAGTTATTTCGTAATGTGAAAAGGATTATTTGTGTACACACAAATTTACAAAACAAAATTCATATTTATAATAACATAAATTGCTTATATATATATGATAAATACATGCGGTGTTTTCTTTTATTGTCAACATCTTTATATATATACATTCAAGTTATTGTCAAGATATTATTAATATTTTACTCAGTGTCAAATCATATTTTTGATGTTTGTGGATAAAACGCGTTTACTGCTCTATCTTTTGTGAACTAAAGTTTATTAATAACAATTTTAACTTTATATGTTTAGATTATATATATTGTTGCATTCATAGATATTCGTTATTGTAGCTTTAAGTGTTTTAAAAACGCTTTTTTCTAGATGTGTTTTATTTTTAATTATTAGTTATTCTGATTACTGTTTAAAATGGAAAAAGTACTTTTATTGACATTCTTAAAAGGTCCATTATGCCTCACAAATGTTTTTATTTTTAATTTCACAAAAGCCTTTTAATATTAGTGCACTTTAATAAAAGTATCTCAAAAGTTACTCATTAGCCAATTACCTGAACCATGTTTGTCATCTGTTGCTTGTTGGAAGTGAGCACAGTTAGAGTTATTTAAGAGTTTTGTGCTGAAGTCAAAAGTTTACATTTGATAATTTTATGACAAATTAGTTCACGTTTATGGCTAATATTCTCTGAAACCATTATCTAAATAACATTAAATTCATGTTTGCCCTTCCTAAAGAATAATATAAATTGTTTGTTTGGCATAATGTGCCTTAAATAAAGTTTGTTGATTCAATACTACGTAATGAAACACACAGTCTGTTAAATAATGAATTAAAAGACGTTTTACTCTACACTATCCTATACAGGAAGAGAACAATCAGTATTCTAATAGATGTAAGACTGATTGCCACAGCTCCTTTGCTTGAAGGTTCATTCCAAATTCTATTTTTTTATTCACAACAGCGAATGTTGTGAATGGGGGATGGGGTATATATCTCCGGTCTTTTCAAAGCGACTGAGTGTATTTTGCATTTGTGCAAATAGGCTAGGTTTTGCAGACAGATCATTCTTTAAGGTTATTTTTCGCATATTTCTTTTGGAATAATAAACCTCTTGATATAACAGTTGGGACAGAATTTTATATTATTATATTTTTAATGTCAGATATTAATATTTGTTTTAAATAACGTGTGTTGTATTGGTATGAACAACAAATCTTCAACGGGAAATCTTAGGACACGATTACACGTTTCATTTCTTCTGGGGTTTATCAGTTTGAAAAGAAAAAAAAAATGGTGGTTTAACTTGAACCGTATCATGACCGTAAAATTAATTTCATAGATAGAATACAGAACTGATGCAATAAAATATTAAATCAACAGTTTCTTGGTTACCATATTTACATAAACTAAGTTAAGAATATATACTGTAGTTACATCATGTGTATTGCTTTAAATCTATGTAGTCATTTTAGTGAATTAAATATTGTACCCAAACTGCCTGTGTTATGTTTTGCTTGAAACTGTCAACAGCCGTTTTATATAGCCTAGCTACGGCTTGATTTCATCAACTGGGAAAGAATAAAATAATTTGTCAGCATTTATATACATATAAATATACGAAGTGTGTTCAAATATGAATGCAACTAGGCCAATAATTCGCTTTTAACCATGTCTTGCACAAACTATATGTACATGTATCGCATAGATGGCTGTGCAAGCTCTCACTTGAGACTTATACATGTGTAACTCAGTTCAGTCTAGCTGTGACAAAAACACTATCTACTCGTGTACACTAAAGCAAAAATGGTTGGAAATGGTCTCCTTTCACCGACCAAATACTGTCCTATATCTATAACAGCTTTATTCTTGGTATACAGGCGATAGACATATTTATATATTTTATATGAAATATGTCGTGCTTATAGGAACAACGAACTTTTTTCATCTGTCACACACTGGTGTAAGAAATTTAAAAGTGATATGGATGCAGTAAAAGATGCACCTCATGCAACTTTTCAAAAAATGGTTACAAAAGTTAAAGATCTGATAGCTACTGATGTAAGATTTACAACTAGGTAAGAATATCCGAACAGTTGTTAAAACCATTACCTAAATACAACAATCGATCTCAAAGACCTTGCATAGCAGAACGTACCATGATCGTCAGAAAGGTCATGTGTGTAATTTTCTTTACCAGTCAAGGTCATGTCATTCAATTTGTCATACCAAAGGGTAAATCTGAAAATGCCAAGTTTTACAAAGGCAAAGTCCTTCATAAATAAAAGAAATATTCAAACAAGAGTGTCATAATGGTCCTTGATCTCTCATCTGACCCATCAAACTCATCGGAACAATTACTTAGACAAGCATTCTGACCAAGTTTCATGACAGGTGAGTCAAAAATGTGACCACTAGAGTGTTAACAAGGATTATCCATATTTGAGCAGTATGACCTAGCTTTTACCCAGGGGACCCATATTCGAACTTAGAACCTAGAAATCATCAAAACAAACTGTCAGACCAATTTCCAGGATACTTTATTCCAGGATAAAAACAGTAGCCACTAGAGTGTTAAAAATATTTTTTTTTATTTTTAGCTCCGGTGACCTTATTTTTCATGCGAGAAGACCCATGTTCAAACTCATCTAAGCAAATACCTTGAAAAGCATTATGACCAAGTTTGATGATAATTGAATCAAAATTGTGACCATTTGAATGTTAATAAGGTTTTTCCATATTTGGGCGGTGTGGCCTAGTTTTTCAACTGAGATGACCAATGTTCGAACTTGACCTAGAAATCATCAAAACAAACTTGCAGACCAATTTACAGGATATTTGGATCAAAGCAAAAGCCACTAAAGTGTTAATAAGATTGTTCTATTTTTAGCTCAGGTGATCTAGTTTTATTATCCGAGATGACCCATGTTCGAAGTTATCCATGCAATGACCTAGACAAGCATCCTGATCAAGTTTGATGACAATTGAGTCAAAAATGTAACCAATAGAATGTTAACAAGGTTTTTCCATATTCGGGCAGTGTGACCTAGTTTTTCTTCCGAGATGACCCATTATAGAACTTGACCTAGATATAATCAAAACAAACTTTTAGACCAATTTAAAGGATACAGTAAAAAACTGTTTATAGTAACCTTCGATGGGAGAAAAGAAAAAAGGTCATTATAGACAGGGAGTCACTGTGGACAGTCTCTACATAATTCGGATATATGAACATATCATACCAATATTTTGTTGAAAAGCAGGATAGTTCCATACTTAGGTGAATTATATTCTTTATTGATATTAAACATACCAAAACTCATTTATAAAAAACAAGACAGTATTAAAATTGCATGTATAATTGGTTAAGATTATAGATTATAAACTACACCATTACATTAGTATTTATGTAATTTATATTGATTAATCTGTTTGTAAAAAAACGTTTAATTACAATTTTACTAATGAAATGTTACTGTCGAGACATTTAATTTTGTATAAACAGCCTGTTTACTTTACGGAGTTCAATGTATTAATAAAACATTAGATACAAATCTTCACATAATTTCTACAGATAAGTGCTCCGAAAAATATTTTAACAAGATAACCACACCTTTAAGACGTAAGGCATTGTTTATCTTTACTCGCCAAAACACCGCAGCAATTATGTATAAGCAGTTGTATTTAATCATTCTATCGGCGAAAATTGATTGAATCTGTCGCCACTTTGTGTAATTGTCAACAAACAGCCACAGTGTATTAGCGTGTTGCCGATTGGTCAATGCAAACTGCCGTAGATACAACACGCGTTCTGATTCGTCAATCGCATAAATACATAATGAGAAAGATATACATAGTGCACTCTTGCCTCGCTTTGTTGAATTTGACAAGCGTTCTTAACTAGCGGATTAACGGTAATTGGTTATATTTGAGAGGTAAACAAATTGTTAACAGACCTAGTGGCGTAAATAAGTATGAGAGAAAATAATAAGAATCGGGCGACTTCAAAATCTCTTTGAAGTTTGTTTTAGGCAAAGTCGCTGATCCGAAGCCCAAGTCGCCACCTAGTTCAAGCCAAAAGTCGCTTTTCACAGCTCAAATGCCGTAATGGGTGACTAAATCATGATCGTTGTACGGACTAGACAGGGAGTCGCTACATACAGACCATTTATAAAGTAAATACTGTTCGGCGCACCTAACTATGGTCACTAAAGACAGAACGTCGCTATATACAGGGGGTCACTAAGACAGTCTTTACTGTATTTGGTTCAAACAGTAGCCACTAGAGTGTAAACATTTTTTTCTCTATTTTTAGCTCCTGTGACCTCGTTTTTAATCGAAATAACATATGTTCGAACTAATTTGAGCTATCACCTAGACCAGCATCCTGACAAAGTTTGATGATGATTGAGTCAAAAATGTGTTTACAAGGTTTTTCTATTTTTAGCTCCGGTGACCTAGTTTTTCATCCTGGATAACCCATGTTTAAACTCATCCGAGCTATCACCAAGACAAGCATCCTGACCAAGTTTGATGGTGAGTCAGCAAACATGCTACCGCTAGAGTGTTACCGGTATTTCTATTTTTAGCTCCGGTGACCTAGTTTTTCATCCGAGATAACCCATGTTCCAACTTATTCGAGCTATCACATAGAAAATCATCCTGACAAAGTTTGATGATGATTGAGGCAAACATGAGACCGCTAAAGTGTTAACAAGGTTATTCTTTTTATTAGCTTCGGTGACCTAGCTTTTCATCCGAGATAACCCATGTTCGAACTCATCCGAGCTATCAACTAGATAAGCATCCTGACCAAAGTTGATGATGTTTTAGACATGAATTTGACCGCTTGAGTGTTAACAATGTTTTTCTATTTTTGGCTCCGGTTACCTATTTGTTTTTATCCGGAATGACCCATGTTCGAACTCATCCAAGCTATCACCTAGATAAGCATCCTTAACAAGTTTGATGATGATTCAGGCAAAAATATGACCGCTAGAGTGTTAACAATGTTTTCCAATTTTTAGCTCTGGTGACCTCGTTTTTCATCCCTGATGACCCATGTTCGAGCTCATCTGAGCTACCACCTAGACAAGCATCCTGTGAAAGTTTGATGATTGAGGCAAAAATATTACCGCTAGAGTGTTAACAAGTTTTTTCTATTTTTTAACTCCTGTGATCTAGTTTTTCATCCGAGGTGACCCATGTTCGAACTCATCCGAGCTTTCAACTATATAAGCATCCTGACAAAGTGTGATGATGATTGAGGCAACAAAGTGACCGCTAGAGTGTTAACGAACAAGTGTGGACGGAAAACGGACGACAGACGACGGAAATTCAACGGTCCTAAAAAATCCGGCGACCAGCAACTGGTCTCGGTGTTGTCAGGTTTCACAACGTTCTGTTTTGCCAGATCGTTTCCCTTGTAACTTTTCAACATTTCGGATCTCAAAAATCACTTTGACGGAAGAAAATATCAAACGCAAAAAAAAAAAATCTCAGCTGTCTGTAACAATGTTGAAGTTAAAATGTAAGTCGTGCACAGCTGTCTATAAAACTGTTGAAGTAAGAAATGTAAGTCGTGCACAGCTGTCTATAACACTGTTGAAGTAAGAAATATAAGACATGCACAGCTGTCTATTAAACTGTTATAGTAAGAAATGTCCACACACTTGTCTATAACACTGGTGAAGTAAGAAATGTAATTCATGCACAGCTGTCTATAAAACTGTTGAAGAAAGAAATGTGAGTCGTGTGCAGCTGTCTATACAACTGTTGAAGTAATAAAGGTTCGTCGTGCACAGCTGCCTATAACACTTTTGAAGTAAGAAATGTAAGTCGTGCACAGCTGTCTATAACACTGTTGAAGTAAGAAATGTAAGTCGTGCACAGCTGTCTATAACACTGTTGATGTAAGAAAAATAAGTCGTGCACAGATGTCTATTAAACTGTTATAGTAAGAAATGTAAGTCCTCAAAGCTGTCTATAACACTCTTTAAGTAAGAAGTGTTAGTCATGCACAGCTGCCTAAAACACTATTGAAGTAAGCAATGTAAGTCGTGCACAAATGTCTATAAAACTGTTGAAGTAAGAAATGTAAGTCATGCACAGCTGTCTACAAAACTGTTGAAGTAAGAAAAGTAAGCCGTGCACAGTTGTCTATTACACTGATAAAGTAAGAATTGTAAGTCGTGCACAGCTGTCTGTAACACTGTTGAAGTAAGAAATGAAAGTCGTGCTCAGCTGTCTTTAACACAGTTGAAGTAAGAAATATAAGTCGTGCACAGCTGTCTATTATACTGTTATAGTAAGAAATAATAGTCCACACAGCTGTCTATAACACTTTTGAAGTAAGAAATGTAACGTATGCACAGCTGTCTGTAACACTCTTGATGGAAAAAATGTAAGTCCTGCACTGCTGTCTATAAAACTGTTGAAGAAAGAAATGTAAGTCGTGCACACCGGTCTATAACACTCATGAAGTAAGAAATGTAAATCATGCACAGCTGTCTATAACACAGTTGAAGTGAGAAATGTAAGTCGTGCACAGCTGTCTATCACACTGTTGAAGTGAGAAATTAAAGTTGTGCACAGCTGTCAATAACTTTGTTGAAGTAAAAAATGTTAGTCGTGCAGTCTTGTCTATACAACTGTTGAAGTAAGAAATGTAAGTATTGACCAGCTGTCTATAAAACTGTTGAAGTAAGAAATTTAAGTCGTGCCCAGCTGTCAAAAACACTGTTGAGGTAAGAAATATAAGTCATGCACAGCTGTCTATAACACTGTTAAAGTTAGAAATGTAAGTCATGCACAGCTGTCTATAACACTGTTAATGTCAGAAATGTAATTCATGCAAAGTTGTCTAAAAAACTGTTGAAGTAAGAAAATGTAATTCGTGCCCAGCTGTCTATAACACTGTTGAAGTAAGAAATGTTATTCATGCACAGCTGTCTATAAAACTGTTGAAGTAAGAAATGTAATTCGTGCCCAGCTGTCTATAACACTGTTGAAGTTAGAAATGTAAGTCGTGCACCGCTGTCTATAAAACTGTTAAAGTAAGAAATGTAAGTCTGCACAG